ATAAAATAAGTCGTCACAAAATAATTTTAAGCCAAGAAAAGGAACACAAAAAAAAATGATATATTAATTTTAGTTTGGATCCGGAAGCGTTTACAGTAACCTCGATCTATTTATTTGTTTTACTAACGGAAGCGCATGCAATATTTTGTATTTAATTCGCCGATCGAAATTTTCCGATGGATTTTTCCGTGAAAATAGGAACTCAATGTGTTTACAGAGATGGTAACAATGGATCTCTCTCGGCTTACATAAAGCTCCTACAGCTTTCAGTCATCCTGTGTAATATAATAGTGTTAAGCGCGAACGAACAAGCTATACAATTTAATACCGATTAAAACAAAAAAAAAGAAATAAAGAAGGTAAGTAAAACTGTAAATCTCTTTTTAATATATATTTTTGCTCAAATTCACGTTCAAAATCTTACAAAGTAATACAATATGTTTTTAATGAATACATAACTATGAATGAATTAATATATTCTATTGTAAATGTCAAATTGTTACACATTAATTTTGCTTTAATTACACAAAACCCGAATCTTTCAATTTATTGTACAAAACGGCAAGAAATTGCTATTTTTCTATAGCATAACTTGAATATGTCAATTGCACACAAAGCGAAACGCTTTTGTATATTACACAAGCTGCATTTTCAGTTTAAATCAGCTGTTTACAAAAGCAATCTAAACTTCTCACAAGAATACAATTTTATTTTAAATTTCAGTGAAAATGGATTCATGCTAACTGCATTCATGAAATTTACTGAATTCACTTTTCTAGTAAAAATATTTGCTACAAATATCGTAGATCCTCCTCCATTATTGACCTTTTGGCACTTTTTCATAAATATTGCATGTGATTAATATCAATCTAAACATTTATTTTCTTTACGTATTACGTCAATGATGTGACAAGTGTCTTCAATATGAAGGGCCCACAATTGTGGTCCCTGGCTTTGGACCGTGTTACATGTCCACACTCGTGAGCTCTTAATATTGAAAACCCTTGCCACATCATTGACGTAATACCTAAATAAAAAAATGTTCAGATTGATATTATTCACATACAAAACCTTAATTTTGTTACGTAAACGATTCAAACGTTATTTGAGGTTCCTGGACTTTTACTATATGAAGGCCCTTTAAAATGGTCGTTCGCACTTTTTCGTAAATAAGTAGACGATGATACGATCCAAAGTCATGGCCCCACACTCGTGGGCCCTTCGCATTGAAGACCCTTGCTGTCATTGACATAAAACGCAAATAAAAAAAATGTTGAGATTGATATTATTCACACTCAATGTCTTATTTTTGTCACGTAAACTATTAAAATTTTCATTAGGAAACTTTTAACGTCGGTCGCTCTTAGGTGATTTATAAGTTTTAATTCCGTCAAAGACTTTTAATGCAACTACATTATGTATGCAATAAGTAGCACCTAAGAACACATAATTAAAAAAAAACTATTTCCTTTTAATATAAATTAATAATTTTCTTAGCAGTATTTAAAGAATAGAATTGCAAAGAATATATAAGTATTTTTATTAACTTTTCAATAACAATTTGGGCATATTTCAATTACTTGCAACAGTTATAAAAAATATCTCATTAACTATAAGTGATATTTATTTACAATATTAAATTAAACTATGACAACGAATCAGTAAATTAAACAGTAATTGAATATTTTTTACATGCAAACCTGCAGTTTGATAATTTGCTCATATTTCACCCAACTGTAAATTCCAATAAGTAAATAATATGGCTTTGCAAATAGAAATGGAACGTTAATTTAATATTATTACATAATAATATTCACTTCGATGTATATACGAAAATTCAATTAATAAATTTTAGAGACAGATGAAATCAAAAATGAACAATTGTAAAATACAAAAAAAAAACTAATAATATTTATTAGAAACAATTGTAACCAAAGGGCTATCGGCCTAAGTCTTTCCACCCTTTTTATTCTAATACAGTGGAACCTAGCTTAATGCGCATAATCAAAAAAACGATAATGCGTTCCACTTTGCGAGTCATTTTTCTTTAAATCTATATATATTTAATTATTCAGTAATATTTTGTTTTTAGTACGAATTAAAAGGACCAAAAAGACCGTATTTTTAGACTCCAAGACGTATCTTTTTTACATAAAAAAATATATTTAAAATTGAGTCTTATGGTCCGAAAAATATAGTTATTTTTATATAATATGATTATATAAATATATTTTATTTTTTTCAAATATAAACTAATACATTACATCCTAGTCCTTCGAAATACAGAAATGCCTCATATAGTGCGACTAATTGATTTCGCCCGAACTGTTTTTTAAAACTGCACAGGCTGTACAAAGAGAAAAACAGGATAATTTATATATAAAATAATAATTTCGTGAACTATTTATTTTAATTTCGTCAATTAAAATTTTCTTTGTTTTTAAAATTTCAAAGTGAATCCGGACTGATCAAAGCCAAACTATACGATGTATGGCTGTTTACCTAATGTATGATTATTGATTTTAATTAATGGAATTACACATAGATCAATAGTATACTCTAATCACAACGTTTATTTGATGCAGGATTAAATGTGCTCAATCGGAGATGTGTTTTCGGAATTAATCCTATGATAAACGAACATTTACGCTTTACCAAATAGCATTAGTACGTTATTGAATAGAAGGTAAATCAAAAGGATCAATTATATCATTATATAATCTTACAAAAATAGATTAATTTAAATGAAAAATTTGAGATAATTTATCTAAAAGTTTTTATAATTAACCGTATTTAAATAATTGGTGTTTTCATTAACATTTCCATTTTAATACCAAGGAAAAAAGCTGAGAAAATACGATTTACTCCAATGAAACAAAAAAAAAATGTTTCGGTATTAAAAATTAAATTTTAAAAATTATACAACAAAATCTCTAAAAACTAATCAAGATAATACAACATATTATGAAAATGACAGTTTTCCTCAAAATATTAGATTAAAATGTAAGTTTACTTAGTTTTCGCTACTTTTATACCTCTCAACTTGCAAGTGATAATTTTGTAAGTGAATTGAAATTATTAAGCAAAATGATGGACAATTCACGGTAGTTGTCTGATTTTGTTAAAAAAAATATATAATATCAGGTGATATTGAGTATATTGCATCGTTAGTAAGAATTTTATTGGTAAACTTGCATGACGTTTGAAGCACAAACCTATAGATATTGCTGCAAAAGTCGGGATATTTCAATGGCGGTGACTTGCTTTGATGTCAGAATAATGATGCCTATGATCTTTACAGCTATTGATCGATCTGTACAAAAGATACCTTCCTAATTAACTACGCATCATTTTTGCGATATAATAAGTATTTCTCTAATAACTTTCAATGGCTTATTATGGTAGTTAATTAATAAAAAACATCGTGATTCTTCAATACTAATTAAGATAAAAAGTACAAAAAAAGTTTCAAAAATTAAAATTATACAAAATTTTTTGAAATCTACTTCGATTTGCTGAAAAAAAAATACGATTCAAATCAATTACATGGTAAAAGAAAATTTATTTTCTCTATCAATTTACCACTGTATGAGAACAATCCCGGACTGTTTGAATCCGAACTAATCGAAGAACTAAATACATATAAAAATAAAACGCACTACTCTATGAAGAAAATCGATCAATTATATATAAAAAAAATATTATTTGCTAATTTTTTGAAATTTATTTTAATATTGCTGCATTAAAATATATTTTGCTTTGTAATTTTCAAATCAGTGTATAGTAAATTCGGACTGATCGAAGCCGCACTATGTGAGGTATTACTACATTTCATATTTTTAATGATTTCGTTTTTCCATTAAATACAAAAGAAATGATTTCAATTGAAAATGTTTTTACTCTTAATTAACGGAGTGGAATGGAAATATATCAAATTTATACAATTATTTCAGAAGTTTTTTTTGCAATTAAAAATAATTGTACATTATTCTATATGAACTGGTAATTTATACTGAAAAAAAAAATTTTTCATGCAAAAATATATAATTCCATAATAGTTTAAATTTTACTGAAATGTTCTATGCATATATTTTTTTGCATATTTAGGACAATAAATACAAGAAAAATTATGATTTACACTATATTTTTTTTAATTTATTTATTTAAACATATTTATTGGTCACAATTTGAGAGCCATTTTTTTTTATAAATCAGTGTTATATATTTATTGTCTTATTTTAATGGGAAGGAATTTATTTATTTTTTTCGCTAAAAAGGTATATGAAATTGATGGGTACATAAAACGTTAATCATAGAATAATATAATTTTTTATATTTATAGATCGAACAATTTATATATAAGAAAAATCATATAAAATTTCCAGATTTTTACTCGTATAGTGAAACATATTTAATAATACACATCATATGTGTACATAAGCGCGCAATCCGGAACTTCTCTTCTCATCGTCGCTCGTTTAACGAATCATTTTTGTTATAATCGTTTAGCGAGGTTCCACTGTACTTCATGTTTGTCGGGAGAAAACAAATTACATTTTGCTCTTTAAAATGAAATTTCTTTATAAGAATTTTCTTTGTTTGCGTTTTATATTTTCTTGATAATGTTAATTAATACACGCAAAAAGGGCATGCAATATAATTCTTTAAGAAAAATGAATATTTTACTCAAATATTTTTGTATATGCGAAATTTTGTTTGTTAAGGATAATAAATAAGGTACAAGGGAAATGTGTTTGATTTCAATAAATTAGTTAGTTTTTAAAATTGAAAATAAATATAAGTTAAAATTGTTTATTTTAAGTTTGTATAAATTATATTTTTTGCTGCATTTTAACCGGAAGTTTTTTCATATATTTATTTATTTATTTTTTGGGACGTTTATAAAAAAAAGTTTTAATTATATATTTTCTTTGATTTATAGTTTGAAGGGGAAGACAATTAATATTAATTACATAAATATATTAGAATAGGTGACTTACAGTGATCAGTATGTGGAGAGATTCTACGTAAGATCGTTCGGTGTCGTAGAGTTCGACTACCACGTGGGTTCTGGTGTCCTGCAAAATAAACAGAGATTTGTAAACAGAGTGTTGCGGGCAAGAAATGCGAACGGAATGCGCGATGTGTGCGATATTTGCGCGATGGATGTACGCGGTAAAGGATCTTTACCTCAGCAGTGTTACTGTCTGGTGGTGGCTTTTGAGGGCTTGCGGCGCCTTCAGGACTAGAGCTACTGTCAGCTTCGACATCGTCGAGAACAACCGTTGCAACCGTCGTCACCGCAGCCGCTGCCGCCCCCGCTTCCTCCACCTCCTCCTCTTCTTCTTCAGCTACCGCTACCGCGGCCTTCTCCGCCTTCGCCGAGGAAGAGCCTTCCTGGCGCAGGCTGTGTCCGCGTCGGAAAGTTATACCACTCATGAGGAAGAGTGTCACATACACATTGCCACACCTTATGTTGCTGTCGACGCTCGGCACGGGCTTTTATAGGCGTCGCGACGCCGGCCGCGCCAGCGCGTCAGCGCCGTCAGTTTTTAAGAAGCGAAGCGCGGGTCGCAGGGCGAAGCATCGTTGCTAGGCGATCGCGCTTTTGGAAGATCAAATATAATCCGTGATACGCTGGAAACAATGGGCTTCGACGGATTGTTTTTTTTTTCACCCCCTTTCCTGTTCCGCCCCTACGTGTGTCCGAACAGGATGCATCCAGCTCGAACATCCGGTCGGACACGGAATCGCCCCCGCAAAACGTTCTTCTTTTTTTTTTCAATACATTTTGTAGTTCGACGAATGCTGCCACCCCCGGGGATGACCCACCTGTTCGATATTGAGCTGGCTACCAGTTGCATTCAATTCAGCTGCCCACGCTTCCGAACTGGCCGGGCTCGATACGCAAAACACGATATTATTTCAATGCGTTTCGTTCCACCCACGCGACGTACAAGCATTTCAATAACAATAATTGTAGTTTACTTGAGCATGTAAACTGTGCCCAGCGCAGAAATTCAAAACCCGATTACCGATGTTGCTGAAGCAGTCTGTAATTAGGTTTCGCTGCAAATTTGTTTATAGTGCATGGAATTACATGGATCAATCGACTGCATCTGAGCACTTCCAACATGAAGAAAAATACTGACAAGAGATGTTGTCAGCATCATAGTTAGATATTACCTGAACAATTAGACCATTAATTTCATAAATCTACAAACATAAATGGTCGTAAGAACCATTTGATTAGTATTTTTATTTTTTTAGCAGTATTTGTATTATTTACAACATTAATACAATAAAAAATGTTGACTTATAAATAAAATATAAGTATATAAGATGAAAAATACTGAATATATGGTTTTTGAATCAGATGACTGAAACGCGTAAAATCGAACAAAATTATGTTTATAGTACGGCTCACTAGACATTTTTTCGCGGTTCTTTACTCCAAAAAGGTTGCCGACTACTGAACTAACCTAAGCCAAGTTGTAAGACCCAATGTTAAAGTATTTATTTTTCATTGAAGCGTCTATTAACAACATTATTAATATTACAAACTAGGGTGTACACAAAAAAAAACAACTTTTAAAAAACCGGTTTTCGAATTTTCATTTATAAAATTCTTGAATATTACATAAAAGAAAAGAAGATCTGCACTATCGCATATCGCAAACATATTTTGGAAGCTATGGCATGATTTTCTTCTACGTCGCTTTTTTCATCATTTTTCTATTGAATAATTTTTTTAATTTGTGGATTTTCTTGAATTCGTGTCTCTACAGCAAATAATATTATAGAACTAATTTCAGTTTTCATTTCATATAACAGAAATTAAAATGTCTTCCTTGTTAATAAATTCGCATCTTGTCGTACTAAGACCTCTTTCTATCATGACCTTTAAACTTTATCTTCTAGTTTGGAAGTCAATAATAAGACTTAATTCCTTCCCAATTTTCTGTTTGTTTCATGAAACTTAGTATTTATAACAGAGACGACTTTGGAATCAAAATGTTTGTTTTAACCAGATAATTAATTATATTTTAAATCTAGGTTCAAAAACCGGTTTTGTAGTTGAAAAAAAACATTTTTCGAATTATATAAATATCTTCAAAAAACCGACAAACAATATCACACACACACTAATACTTTTTTACAAGTTGAACAAAATGAATTAAAGTAAATTGTTTTAAGATGAATGAATATTTAACCCTTAAATGTATACTAATAGTTTTTAAATGTAAAAACAGTACAATTTATTTTAACAATTTCCTACTTGTTGTTGATGATTCACAACTCTGCTTATAATACATAGGTTAAAAGCAAATAAAAAATTGTGAATGATTTATTTAATTATATACCTAAACATATTTTTTAAATATAATTTGAAAAAATCATGCATTTAAGCGTTAAGTGACTTTTGTTTAGACCAAGGATCAGCAATACGCGGTTTTGGAAACAATTACGGCTTTTCTATATTAAATAATCTACTGATTTCATTGATAGGCAAACCTTTTTTGTCGTTGACTTTTGTCTATTAATTACAAATAATAATTTTACACTTATTTGCTTCAATTGTTTCATATATCAATATTTTCTCTAAATTCATTTATTGAGATTTATTTGTTTTGATAATTATATAATTGTTTTAATTATTTTTATTTTGTTTCAAAGAAAGATTTTTAAAGTATCTTAAATAAACTGAAAATAATTATCCTAAGAAAGTTTTTTTTCTATATTATTACAACAAAAACTAGGAAAATAAATATTAACGTAAGTATAATTCATTTTAATCTTTTTAAGATTTATATAACATGTATATCTTCTTTTTTTAATGTTATGATTTGTTTTTGTCAATAATTGTAGTATTTTTGTCATAAAAAAAATGTTATTTGTATAGCGAATTTATACCTCTAAACAATTTGTTTTATATTCTAACCAACCGACTTCTATTTAGTCTGTTATTATTGTGATGTATTCTTTCGTTTTTATTTATGTCTCGTATGTTGATGTTTGTTTCCTCAGCGTTGCCAGATATAAACATTGCTTCAACAATATTTATTAAAAATTATGAAGACTTGCATTTCTTAATTATTGATTGAAGTTATTTATAATCAACATGTAAATAATTTAGCTTTAAGTAGTAAGTAATAACAGATATTAATAAACAATAATTTCTAAGTTTCTCTCGCCCATTTTTATATACATATTTATAAAGAGAGTAAATAATACTTTATTGAAATAGGATTATTCGAGAATCTATATACAGCAATTATTCCAACAATGCGGCTTCAATCAGTCTGGATTTACTATACTTATTATAATATAGTAATAAAATCACTTTTTGTGTGGTTTATTTTTGTATGTATTTGAGTCCAGTTTCATAAATTCTGGGATGTTGACAGAACTCTTTAACGCACTATACGAGGTATTGGCATATATATAAAAATGAAACCAAAACTTATAAAGAGAAAAAACAATTATTTATGTATAAAATAATTGTACTATTGATTTTTTTTAGAATTTATTTTAATTTCCATAGTGAACCCAGATTATGCGAGGTAAACAAATATGTAAAAAAATATTAAAAAAAATAATAATAATAAAAAATTGGAAATTGAAAAATATTGTATTGAATAATTCAATAATTTTTATTAAATTCAGAATAGTTTTCTCTAAATTTACACAGTATTCCCACAATTTAATATACATAATTCTCCACTTGGAAATGATACAAATCACTTTCAGTGGTTTAAACTATCTATTTTTCGTACTATAAGACGCACCTTTTTATATAGAAAAATGGACTGAAAATTTGAAAATAAGACAAAAAAGACTTTCATATAACGTGAAGAATAAACTATATGTGATCAATTCCGTCCGGTGCGTCTTATAATCCAAAAAATATGGTAGTTTTTAAACAAAATCTCTAATAACATACTCGGAACTATTGAGTTGTCAAGAAACTCACAATTATGTTTGCTTAGTTGATTGCTTAGAAGGATTTATATCATGTTTAAAAGCAATTTGCTAGTAATTTTGTCTAGTTTAGGGTCAATTTTAACTTGACATAGAACAAAAACGAATATTTTCGAATTTTTTTATTTCCGTAAATCAAGAAAGCTAATGAGACAAACAATCAAATATGTGAAGTTCATGTTTTTTTTGCTTAACTCTTTGATGAGCAAGAAATTCCAAAATTTCTAGACCCAATATTTTTTTAGACAATTACGTCTACTGAATCAACATCAGACCAAATTGCACTACAGCCCTTCAAAGAGTTAACTTAAATACGTGTCCAAATTGTTTTGAAAAAAGTTACCAATAAGATGGCAAAATATCAATAGTATAAAATGAAAAATATATAAAGGATTATTTTTTGTATAAAAAAGTTTTTATTCACACCATAAAACCGCAATTATAATCCAATAGAAATGAAAATAATTGAAACACTTGCAATAACTTATATAACTGTATTATATCGCATTGAAGTATTTTAATTAATTGTTTATGTACCAATATTAATTTGTATTAACGACCTGGTTAATTATACCTATTACATTTAAATTATTAAAAAAGAATATTTGTATCTCTTTGAAATTTTCTTTTCTATTTCGTTTTTTTCAATTTACAAAGAACACATTTCTATCTGCAATGCAAACTAAATTAATTGTAAATATACTTTATTACTGAAATAATCTTGTTGATTTTGTTGAAAAATTATTATTTAAATTTAATCACTTTACTAATTGTAACATCACCTCGAAAGTAAAGACATATTCAAAACAATGTTTTGCAATTTCAAAATTGTTATAAATTAATTGATTGTATAAAATTTAAGAACTCATGTCGTCTCTTCCTTTTAACATTTTTTTTTTGTTTTCTTGTGACCTTTTATAATGGAGATAATACTTATTTAAAGGAATCCTCCTACATTATGCAATATGCTCGAATACACAGCTCTTCGCTGGTTTTCCGAGTGGAGGATAAGTACAATGTAGCAAATCTCTCATATATAATCCGGCATCAGAACATCGTCATTTCGGCTTCCTGAATTCTTATCGATTCGCAAGTA